GGGGGGGGGAGAGAGGAAGAGAGAAAGAAAAAGAGAGAGAGAGAGAGACAGAATTTTAAGCAGATTCCACACAGTGCGGAGCCTGACACAGGGCTCAGTCCATCACCCCGGGATCACGACCTGAGCCAAAATCCAAGAGTTGGACACTCAACCAACTGAGCCACCCAGGCTCCCCTCTCTTGTCACTTAATATCTTTATTTGTGGGGCAGCTGGATGGCTCAGTTGGTTAAGCATCCAACTCTAGATTTCAGCTAAGGCTATGATCTCACAGTTCATGGGTTTGGGCCCCACATTGGGCTCTGTGCTGACAGCACAGAGCGTGCTAGGGATTCTCTCTCCCTCTCTTTCTTTTTTTTTTTAATTTTTTTTTTTTAACGTTTATTTATTTTTGAGACAGAGAGAGACAGAACATGAACAGGGGAGAGTCAGAGAGAGAGGGAGACACAGAATCTGAAACAAGCCCCGGGCTCTGAGCTGTCAGCACAGAGCCCAACGCGGGGCTCGAACTCACAGACTGTGAGATCATGACCCGAGCTGAAGTCAGACACTCAACCGATTGAGCCACCCAGGCGCCACTCTCCCTCTCTTTCTGCCCCCTCCCCCATGTGCCTTCACGTTCTTTCTTTCTCTCTCCTAGGATAAATATTTTAAAAAAATATACGTTTGAGCCCTTCATTTTTCAGTTCTAATTTGGACTGGTTGCTCTATAGGCTCGTTTCACAGCATTCATCATGGGAATTCCCTTTCCCTTATTTCCTAGATCTCATGTTTGCTTTTTTTGTCTTAACTATTTTGGTAGTGCCTATCCACCAGTAGTTTCCTAAGAAGGGAGTACATGAGAAGTAATATTTTGGGATCCTGAATATCTAAATTACCTCCTTTTCTACTCTTGAGACTTCTGGGCACTAAAATACTGATTGGAAATTCTGTTTGTATGTGAGTAACTATGAAATTGCAGGCTTTAGTAGGGTGACTTGTCGGGGACCTGTTCATTTTATTGGGTGCCTGCTGCCTGTCTATCTGTATGTGTCCCTCCCCACCCCCATTCCTTTAAGCTAATTGCTTTCCCGGAGGAGTCCTTTAGTATCCTAACTAGAGAGTATAAGCTTGGCTGCCGATGTTTAGGGAGTCTACTGGGGAAAGGGGGCTGTAGTTGTACATTTATATTGGGGAAATACTATACTTGTATGGTATTTAGATTTTCACTTAATTTCTCTTTTAAATACATCATTTCAGCTGTATCTAGTATCTTTAAGTGCAGAGTCCCTCTGTTTCATCCAATTCAGAGTGAACTTGTAAGTTTTCCACTGATCTGGAAAGATGTAAAGATCCTGTCTACAGGATGGAGAAGTAGGTCTAGGAGTCTGACTTATTTGAACTTTCATTCTTTCTCTTTTTAGTTACACCATGCATCCACCTTCAAAGATCTACCAGTGTCTTCAACTTTTGTATCTCTCTGGGATTCGGGATTCTGTGGGTTTAATTTATTTTTTACCTTGGTATCTTCCCGTTAGCCCTTATTTACTAAGTTAGTTACTATTTTTGCTTTTGCTTGCTAGCTCCCCAAATTTTGTGATCATGTTTTGTCTGTTGCCTTTACTTCCACCATTCTCTTTGTGCTTCTCCTGCCTTTTACTATCTATTTTTGCTTCACAAAGAAGTAGAAATAAATGAATGTGTTCGATGAGCCATGTTAGATACTGGAAGTATCTTTATTTCTCTTCATGCAAGAAGTTCTCTTAATGGGCTATTATTAATAGAAGATACAACTTTTCATATTGGAGATTTCCATAAATCTAGTAGATTCTACTTGTTATTTAATTCTGTAATTGAGCACTAGTGTTTTTCTGTGAGCTGACCCATTTATTTATTTATTTTTAAGTTTATTTATTTTTGAGAGAGGGCATGAGTGGCGGAGGGGCGGCGTGGGAGACCAGAGGATCCAAAGTGGGCTCTGTGCTGACAGCAGTGAGCATGATGCAGGGCTTGACCCCATGAACCATGAGATCATGACCTGAGCTGAAGTCTGACACTCAACTGACTGAGCCACCCTGGTGCCCCAGGAGGCTGACCCATTTAGAAGGGGGACTAAATTCAAATTGTGTTTTATTAGTGGGGTGGTATCAGAAATAGTATATGCTCTTTTGAATTACTCTTGAAGGATAGTTGTGGTACAAAACTGATTTTATCCAGGAAGAATAAATGCTGTTCCTCAAATCTTTTTTCATAGGAGCTTACCTGCCATCTCCCCTCCCTTTAGAAAAGCAAGTAGAGGGGTACCTAGGTGTCTCAGTTGGTTGAATATCTGACTTTGGCTCAGGTCATGATCTCACGCTTCATGAGTTCAAGCCCCGTGTCAGGCTCAATGCTGCCAGCTTGGAGCCTGTTGCCTGCTTTGTATTCTGTGTCTCCCTTTCTCTCTCTGCCCCTCCCCTACTTGTGCACATGTGCGC